AAACAAAATTTGTAGAGAATTTTGTATTCTACAATATTGATAATAAATACAAATAGCAAAAAACCCATAGGAAATGAGATATTTCCAAAAAAAGCGCAAAAAACCGATTTTTGTGACCTTTGACCTTGAAATTTAATAGTTGCTTACACCCTACCATATGTAGGTTTTGAGACAACTTTTAGGGTTTCGATATACAAGTATTTATAGACTTACAGCTGGGTATCTCGAATTCCGAGATTCTTACCTAATTTAAGCTTAAATGACTGGATTAACACGTGGAGAAAAGGAATAGAGATATCTAACCCTTTGGAGACAACACATCACAAATCTTACTCACCCTCGACTTGTCTTGCTGAACTTGCAAATCCACCACCCTCTCCCTCCTCCTATATGGTTCGCTGTAGCTGCAGCAGTACCTCTTGTGACTACGATTGTACAAAGTCTTACACCTTCTGGCATACAGCAATTTGTCAACTGCGCAGAAGAAGTCGTTTTTGCACAAGCTCAGCACGGTGTGAAGGGTGGCTGGATGTGTTTCTGGGAATAGCTGCATCAGTCTGAGGAAGTAGAAGAATTGGCTGGAAGATTGCTGTAGCGATGGGCAAGTTTTTGGCATTAGTTTGGGGTCCGGGTACATTTGTTTATCGGAAGACTGTTGAATAGAAATTGGTTGAATAAATTAGACAGTCATACATCATTCAGTCGGTTGTACGCAGTACTGTCATAAGAGATTCAATTAAACTTCACATTTTTGTATTATTATCTTCAGTTACTGTCTCTATTTTGATTTCAGCTGATGAATGTGATATTTTGAAGCAAAAAATGTTGCGGTTTCTTTCATACTAGAACGTTATATTTGATTTCTATAGGCTGGTGACTTGTTTATTTTGGCGATCGAAAAAATGCCTATTCGGTAGACAAAGATTATGGTTGTCAGTTGAGAAGATTCTTCGTAGATGAGGAAAGATGAATGAATGTATATATATTTTGGCTACTGAATTGATTTTTTGTGGTCCTAGTCCTGCCCTGAATATTGGTTTTTGCCTCATTAGAAAATCAATTTGGCAAGCCAAGCTGTGAAAAGCTCAAAATGCATGTGTTACACTGTGAAACCAATTTCATATCCACTCATCAAACTGTTTATTTTATACTAACCGAAGTTTGATTTGCCGATAAATCACCTGCTCTATTTTTGCTCGCCGATGGAGGATATGGTTGGAAATTGCTCCAAGGGCATGTAACTGGCTGTTTGAACGTCGTTTTGTAACACTTTCCTGCAACAGCTGCATTTTCCGCTGGCTCCATTTCAAAAATCGGATGTAAAAATCTGAACCCCACTTGGCCCCAAAAACTATTTTGTCTTACTGTTTGACAAATTGGGAAGTTCTAAATTATTTCTCAAAAGTCTTTTTCTGTTGTTCGCATTGTTTGCGAGTTTGTTAATTGATGTTTGGAAAATGTTATGACAATGACATGCTTCCGTGATATATTTTGAAATATTTTGATTTAGTCAGTGGGCCTACCTCATATACGCTTGTATATTGAAGTTGGTCGCTTTGTTCAATTCAAAAAAGTCATCTTGTACTGACCCCAGCTGCTATTTTTAAAACAATCCGTTTTTTGTAGCTGCAACAGTATCTGCAAAGTCTGTCTCAGTCTCTAGCAGATTGTTGTATTGCTCTTTAGCTACACTAGTCTGGAATGTTCTTTGGGAAACAAAAAAGAAAAGTTGAGAGTGAACACAGGTGAAAAAAATTACAAGAAATTCGAGACAAGATAGAACAAAGATGTGGAAAACAGAAGGGATGTGCATTTTTTCAAGACAAAGTACAAGCACTACAGGAAAATCCCTACGGCGTTCTCAGAGCGGTGCCTGTGGGAAAGAAGCGGTTCACATTGAATTTTATTCATTGGAGATCAAACACATTTGAAAAAACTTTCTCAGGAAGTTTATTCCACATAACCTCCAACGAACTTATCGAAGCAGAATTGTCTGATTTGACATTATTATATCCGTTTTGGAGACATTTATCTTCTTGGAGATATGCAACATCCTGCTGCCGGTGAAGATGTGCCTCCGTAGCCGATGTTCTGGAATCTAAATGGAATGACGAGACAAGTATGCTCTCATCAGCAAAGCAATTTATTGGATTCTTGGTTTTTTCCAATAAGTCGTTTACATACAATAAAAAAAGGGTTGAAGACAATATTCGTGGTGATGGTATCCAATTTTATATTCGACAAAATATTTTTCTTCTAAGAGAAAACCTAGCTATTTAGCGCTCTTACTCCTATCGCCGTCAAATATTTTTTTGCCTTTTTTGGATATGGACTAAATATGAATGAGAACTCTTTTTCATAAGTCTGGATGAAGTTGGAGTTTGTTCAGCAAAAGGCACACAAAACGGCAACACAAAATATAGACATTTTTTACAAACTGCTCCGGACTTCATTTCCAAAAATATTACTAAATGTTTTGCTATCACATCAGCTTTTTCGTAGTAAATAACATACTGAAAACTAATTCTTCCCTCTTATTTTTATAAACCCCACGGAATGGACAGTGAAAACTACCTGCTCGGGTTTGAAACTGGAAAATTTTTATACGAATGTTTTTTTAAAGTTTGCACAGCCCGTTCTATGGGATATGATATAATGGTGAAGAAGTTCGGTGAACAAATTCCCACGTCTCATTAAATGACTTGTATGGAAATCAGATTCCTTTTGGGAGAGTAGGATCGAATCCTACCGACTGCGCCATGTGACAGAATTGATAGCTAGGCAAATACTGGTTCATTTTCCTTCCTCTAGAACATTCGAAGTGAATATATTTCAAATAAATATACCGAATATACTGAATAATTCGCCATTATTGAATCTGTTTATTTCCAGGTGAGAAACAATGCTCTCGCCTGGCTCGTTAGAGTTGACTGACTACTTCCCATTCAATCTCACGGGCCCGTGTTTTTTTGGGTGCCGTGTTTTTTCCACCCATGTCGATAGTGGTTTCTTACAATGAATAGATAAGTACTTTCTGATTATTCCCATATTGATTTCAATTTAAGAGCCACCGGGAATGATCAGAAAGTACTTATCTATTCATCTTTTGATTTTCATGGAATTATTTTCCAACAGCTTGACTGCATTAACCTTTGTCGATTTTATATAATCGATCGTTTCAAAAACACTTCACTAACTTTGTTCGAAAGCTTCTGATACTTTGTCTTCCATATTCTCTGTTTCACATAATAAATTTATTTCCACCATTGATACGGAAGTGTCCATTCTCAATAAAGTCCTTTTCAACTAAAATTACTTTTTTAAGCCTTTTCTGCCAGTCTTCTTCGGTAATATTAGATACTTCTTCTTTAACTAGCTCTATCACCTTCTTATCAAATTTTGGAAAATTATTTTTACGTCTGATGCTTTGTTTCAATTTTCCCCAAATCAACTCGATGGGATTGAAAATACAAAAATAGGGGGGAAGTCTCAGTATGGTGTGTTCATACTTTTCATCAATACTCTCGAAGGCATACACTTTTTAAATGTTTTTGTCTGTAAAACTTCAAGCAGTTGGTTTTTGATATAGTAATTTTCAAAATACAGATTGTTATCCATTGAAAAAACTTTGTATTTCATCTTCCCTTGAATTTTTATTCGGTACTTTGATGAGCTGTCGCGAATGAGGAAGCGTTGTCAAGAACTATTACACTAGTGACATCCAAATTTGGTACCAATGTGTTTTCAAACCATTCCTCGATCATATTAGCTTATATGTTCTTATGATAGACAACATTGCAGTCATCAAGTTTTTTCAACATAATTTCAAAGAAATCGGAACCCATCCTTTACTTCCTCCGCAATGCACAATGATTAGTCGCGATTCTTTGTTTGCAGGCATGTTAGGCGTACACATTCTCGAACCATTAGTCCACCCTTTCGTAACTGTGTCGTGGGTGTCTTGCCAAGTTTCGTCCAAATTGTTTTTCTTGTCTATATTCAGTTATTTGTTCTGAGTATTTGTTACGAAATTCCACTATTCTTCTGATTTCCATAACTGCATGACGTTTGTTTATTATTTTAAATCGACAGTGGCTCACGTTATGACCGAAAGTATTCAATTTCTTCCTTATGATTTCAGTTGTAGGAATCTCATTGCGTTTGTACTAGTAAAAATTGGTTTTTTCATTAATTTTATCAGATGGAAATCTAAAGGTTTTGGTAATCCTGTGTCAGATCGCGTCATGCGTTCATAAGGTCTGTTTTCGACTATTTTACTAAAGTAACATAAGTTCAAATTTAATTTTATGACTCTTCAGCCAATCATAAAACTCGGTTAGTAAAAATTATCCAATACGAACCGCCAATTCTTCAATCCACGTGGAGTAGTTGGCAGCGGATTCATTCCTCTGTATTGTTTTTTTGGCCTTTGAGAGCGTCGACACCTTTAAGTATGCACAATACCGTTTACTTCAGCTAAAATATGCTATAAATTGGTTGCAATTAAGGTGTAACTGACATAATGGTTTAGACTTTCGCGGCTGAGGTTTTCAGTGTCACTGTTTTTCGAGTTTGAAAGCCGTGGATTGTTGGAATTTCTTCCTGACATTTCGCTGCCGCGAGTGGCTAGCCAGGGAAACGTCAGGAAGAAATTCCAAAAAGCCACGGCTTTCAAACTCGAAAAACAATGACACTAAGGAGTAACTTTTGGTTTACGCTTAGTTTTAATATCGATTTTCATTGAGTATCGGCCAGTAAATGTTGTTACTTGTTTTTGCCAGTTGAAAATTAATCCATAAAAACGGACAAATTCCGAACTTCCTGATTTCTCATTTACGACCGGCGTCTCCCCTCTCGACACCCTGTACATAGACCAAACAACGATTATTTCTATCGTCTAAACAACGGCTTTTGCACACACGGTGACCGTACACAAGGTCTCGCATGCTTGAGCTACAAATAGCAGAAAAGCTTCTATCTAGCCAACTTAGCGAATGTGCGAGTCGTGCACAAGCTAACGACGCGTCAAATGAAATAGAGTTATGAGTTTCGTCAAAAATATATTCGGGATGGCCGACAACAAGGAAACCGAAGACGAGGAGGATGTCAGCGAAGAAACGTCGACTTCCTCTGATACCGGGTTTGTCAGCAGTAACGTCAATAGCAGTAGTGATTTAGAAGGAACACTGAGGACGGGGGAACCTACTGAAGCGGACTGTTCGTCCATTTCCAACTTTTTCGGATACTGGTATGTTTTTCTGTGTTTTCTGTGGTTTGTGAGTTTCTGTGGTTGTGTTTTTTTTTGGTTTCAGTACGGAGGCATTTGACTTTATTAGTTCATTTTTGAAAAATAGAAAGCAACTTGTTGTGATAAATGGTAGTCACTCTGATAATATGAGTGCATGTCATGGAGCCCCGCAAGGTTCAATTCTCGCCCCGCTACTCTTTATTATCTACACATCTGGCTTCTCCAAAGTTCTTAAGTTATTAAACATTCATACATAAGCAGACGACACTTACTTGTACTAGTCCGATAAAGTAAATCAGCTTATTGATCAAGAAACATCGTTCAATAATGAAATTTTGTTCAGATTTCACAGCAACACTGTCTTAACCTTAATCCTAGTAAATCATCTTTAATACTTTTTGGAAAAACCAAAGATCATGAAAGGGCTATACATAATATCGATTTGTATATTGATGGACATTCTGTGGAATTGACTGACAAAATATAATGCTTAGAACTTCATATAGACTACAACCTCAGATTTGTTCATCAAACAGACACTAGCTCTCTCAAAATTACCCTTACTGACGTACTGATTTTATCTATGTTCATTTATTGCGATGTCGTCTATGGCCTTTCTATCGATTCTGCAAGAATTCAGAAAGTACAGAACGCCTGCATTAGACTAATATTCAGCTTGAATCACAGAGAACATGTGACTCCTCCAATCAATCATTTGAATTGGTTAACAATGCAAAACAGAAGAGAATTACCTTTCGTCTGTTTCGTTCACAAACTGATCCCACTTATTTAGTGAAGAAACTCCTTCCCAAACGTCATATACATTCAAGAAACATTCAATAATTTTGACATTCCGAATCATAACAGCACTATCTATGAACGATCCTTCAAGTATGATGCTGTAACAATGTATAACAAGTCTGAGGCTTGAACCACCGACTCCCACATCGGACGATTGATATGGAAAAAATGAAAATTACAATGAAGAACTTTATACAAGTGTAGAAAGGGCAAACATTTTAGTTTACCCCGATAAGTTACTGCGTAAAATCAAAGTATGTTCTATTTATCAGTAACTTGTCGTATTTAACAATTTTGATCAGTTGTATTACCAATTGCGTATGCAGGAAATTTTCTGTGAAGATTCCTGCACTGACGCCTGTCGGATATAATCCAACGCTCTTTGTGGTATTAGCCAGGGGAGTAGTTGTTTTCTGATAGCAGTCAATCCAATCAACCTACTGTGTAGGTATAACCGAGACTGGCTTGAACGTTTAAAGTTCATTCCTTTAGATTATATCTACTGAGAAATAATACAATACTTATCTTAACGTTTTGGAGGCCAATATCAGCTTCCGTTTTTTTATAGGCAAAATACGACAAGTTATTGATGAATAGAACATTTTTTCTCTGAAAAATACTTTGATTTTACGCAGTAACTTATCGGGGTAAACTAAAAAGTTTGCCCTTTCTACACTTGTATAAAGTCCCCCATTATAATTTTCATATTTTTCATATTGTGGAAGGTGGAAATACACGAAAAAAGTCGATAAAAAACTGATTTTCCTACTCAGAAAATGACTTCGTTCAACATTGATATATTGGCAGATTTATGACAGATTTATGACAGATTTATGACACCTTTGTTGATTGACAGATTTTTAAATTTTCACTTCTCTCATAGAGAACCTCATCACATTTTCAAAAACACCCATATCACTGAATCATACTACATTCATAAACTAATTTTTTTATTATCCAAGCACTCTTTAAGTGTGTTTCACACATTTCGAATTGTTGAATGAGAATGCTATTTTTCGGTCACGTTTCGTGAAAAGCTTTATTTATTTCACAAAGCGAAGTCTTTAACCTTGTATTTATCTCAAATGAGATCCTATATTTAGCCTTGTGTCTATTTTCTGAAAAATGCTGTTGATTTTAATATTCTGAAACTCGTGTACAAGGTTTTGAATTGACAAACTGACTTGCAATGTTTTGAGTGTGTCGACAGACATTTTTAGAAAACAAGGGAGATTTCTAGAAATTTCCAGATGCTGAAAAATACTATAAATGTACGCTCTTCTGTTTTCAAACAACTGGAAGTGTAGCTAGAGCTAGAGGGGCTGAAAGAAAATCTATCTTGGACGAGAAATAAATAACGTATTCCAAAAACACTTTATTGTGAGATTTTCACTAAATTGTTTTACAAAAACGCAACACGTGTTTCGCCATACAATGGCTTCATCTGATTTGGGTAGGAATGTTGGGAAATCATATCATAAGGTAATCCCATACATACATACATCCCGTACATGTACATTCCCAATGATCACTTATGTGCAATTGCTTGGTGGTCTAAGGCTTTATAGAAAACGGCTCAGGCGAAGCTCTCTGGCTTACAGAGACAGGCTTGTCTGGCCATCAGTACCACACCGTCAGCGGCCATGGATATTTTTCTAGATCTACCTCTTTTCCACATTTTTCTGGAGAGGACTGCATACATACTTGTGCACATTGCCAACTGAACAAATCAATTTGTTGACACTGGTTGGTTAACACTGTCACAGCATTCTGGAAATGACCTCTGATTTTATGCCTCCAACTATCAACTACGAACTGGCTTATAAAGTACTGTTCCTGAGTAGAGAGGACTGGATCCTCCGGGAGAAGGAAATATTAACAGCAGATAGTTGTTGGTTCACAGTTGGATCAAAAACACTTTCCGGTTCTGGTGCAGGTGTCTTCAGTCGCAGACCCAGGACAGAGATATCAACCTGCCTAGGTTGATATCTTCGAAGATATCTTCGAGATATCTTCAAAGCTTGATTTCAAACAGTTGTTGGACTACAGTAGGAGTGAACTACGATGTCTAACAGGCCTTCTAACAAGTCACTGTCATTTGAATCATCATATGCAGAGAATCGGACTGTCGGAAGACAGTGTGTGTCGCCTCTGTTTGGAAAATGATGCACATACCTTGTGCCTGTCTCGCTGAGGACCAAATCAGGTTTTTGGAGGCAGAAATTGTGGCCAATAATCAAGATGAATTCGAAACTCTAGCTATTTCACAAGAAGATGGTGTGCCTCCACATTTTTTCAGGCGAGTAAGGAATTGGTTGGATCAAACATTTCCAGGCATGTAGATTAGTAGGCGCGGTCCATTGGAATGGCCTACTACTTCACCGGATTTGACTCCTCCGGATTTTCTTTCCAGGGCTATATCAAATTGGAAGTTCATGTTACGCAACTAGTGACAATACGGAAACTTAGAAACAAAATTACAGAATTACTTCATAAGTATTCTCAAATGTTGACAGTAATTTGCGATGGTAGTGTGCCCGACTCACGGTGAGTTATAATACTGGGAACGCGAAAATGCAAGCTTCTTAGCCTTTTCAACAAATATCTAATGTAGGAAAGTGCAAGTACAGGTTGTGACGGCTTCTCTTCTTTGCGAGGCTTTTGCCGTTTTTAAACCAAAGTCTGGAGTAACCATTCCGTTGAAGATCAGTTTTGATGATGCCTAGTTCTCTTTCGAAACCTTCCTTCGTATCACAGAGCGTATGTTGGCTATAACTAGTGAAAGTGGCGATCCCATTGGCACTCCATCTTACCTAAATAATTCGTCTTTCAGTTGGACATAGCAGTTTCGTACACAGCATCCTAATAATTCCATGATTACTTGCTATAGGTTGTGTTGTGCTATAGGAGTTGTGGAATTGGCCACGGCGGTAGTGTGCCTGACTCACGATCGGAAGGACGTGGGTTCGATTCCCGCCTGCCTCTACCAGATATTTTTCTCGAAAGAATTTATCTGGTTGAAGCTGGGATGATTCTGCAACCGTGTTAGGAATCACACGTTAAAAGATAAGACCTCGTTAGTCCTTATCTCGCACGAGTTTCTCAACTTCTGAGAGTTGTCGTTTGTATGGGGGCGACAGCTGATTAACGGAAAAACAGATTTTAAAGAGATTTTTTTAGGTATACTGTTTTACTGTCATGAGGTTCAAGGGGAATATTTTGAATACTTGATCCAAAAGATTAATAATTAATAACGAAGTTAAAATGAAAGGTTATCGTTTTATGTCCCCATATTTAACAAATCCGAATGTTACTAATAAACTCGTTTTTTCAATGAACATTCATTTCAAAAAATCTGACATACAGTGGCGTAGTTACAAAATTCCTAGTCCCAAATTCAAACATCTATAATTCCGCAACCGGTTATCAAATGTCGTAAATGTTTATAGATAATTGAAATAATGATAGATTGATCCAAAAGATTTGTCCGTTTTCATGAGTTTACTTTGAACTGAGTTAACAAAAGTCGATTAATTTCGTCAGCATAAAAATTATGTGCTCGGGATTCGATGAGGTCGAAGAAGACCGTTTGACGAAGGTTCTCTCGGTGAGGAAGTCATCGAAGTTCTTGAATAGATGGCATTCTGTTGGCAAAGAGTCTGTCGATCGTTCAAATGGCAAGGCACCCACTTTTTGAGCTTTTTAACCTTTTCAATACATTTTAAACCATCAAAAACCGGATGGGAACTGCCCAGTTCTTCCGCCATCCTACGCACCGTTTGTGATGGGTCAGTCTTCAAGTCCTCAATTCCTCGTCCTGGAGAACTGTAGGTCGACTACTCTAGGGCTTCTATATTTTGTAGCAATCCTGTGGATAATATCTGATTCAATTCCATAATGAATGAACTGGATAGAAAATACTGTGTATTGTATAATTCAATGTTCATATGAAAGTAGTTGTTTGTAGAGGGCTTTATATTCCAGTTTGTGTCTAAAAGTTACTTTTTTGCATGATCTACACACATTTTTGAATCATTTACTTTCAAAATAGTGGCTTTCTTTCTTTCTTTGGAAGATTTCCACATTCTTTTTGTATTGAGTTGGAGAAGTAAGAAGCAAAAACGTTTTTTCCTCAAAAGTGTACGTCTCCTAAAGATAAACCTCGTTCAATTCATACCAAGAACTGTTTTTTATTCTTT